ATCAATAATCTAAATATCGCTCGTAATTATTAAAACAAATATAATAATAAATTAATATAATAATAAATTAAGAGGTTATAAACGAGCAAATTTCGTGGATATACTAACAAATATATTTTATTTATATCAAGATATACAGATATCTATAAATGCGTTACCAGTTTTGACTTGACTGCAGTCTTCATCAGCCGCTAAATAATTAATACTTAATACACGATTACATAAAAAAAAAACATTAAATAATAAATAAGTAAAACGCGGATATAGTTCATGTCAACGTAGTGTGTCAGTAATTAAAAATTGATATAACAATGAATAAAATGAAATGCAATATAATATACCTTTATCGTCATAATAATTGATATAAAATAAGAAAGTAATAAAATAAAACGCAATATGCAACAAAAGTTTAATGCTATTGTCTATCTAAATAATTTTAAGTTTTATAGAACGGACTTAAAGTAAGTAAAATGACAAATGGAATTATAATAAAGCAAAAACTTAATGTGCCCGGATTGCGCATTAATAAATAAGATGTATATAAAATGCAGGCACGTGAAGTTTTTGCTTCATTATAATCCCATTGGTCATTTTAGTCACTTTAAATCCGTTTTATAAAACTTAAAATTATTTAGAAAGACAATGGCATTGAACTTTTGCTACATATACTTTTGGGACCCTAAAAGTAGGGACTCGCCAACTCGTCACGTGACTGTAAGTGGACTCTGATTGGCTGGTATTTTTTTGCATAATTAAGCTCCATGGTTCAAAGCCAAATGCTACACTATAACCTATTTTGGATTGATAAGGTTACTTATTTTCAAACGTTTATTGTTGGTAATTAAGTTATAAATTTATCATGTTCATGTAAAATTATGAAAAAATGCAATATGTTGTCATGAATAAATTATCTTTGAATTAATAAACGTGATGCTTTATAATTAAATAAGTAGTACGAAAATTAGAAATGTCAGTTTTATTAATGTTAAGAACAACGCAGCGTATGATCTTGTAAGAATTATATCAAAGAGATCAAAGTAACAGTTCACTACGTATATTTCTAGTACAAGTATAACTGAGATCCGCATAACGACGCATCACAAAGAGAAGTGAGGCTACGGCCCAGTGAGAAGGCTGATGTCGAATCGACGTCGTTTCGACGTCGATGTCATCGAAAACTCATCGAATCGAAATTGACATCGAAAATTAGACCATTTCGATCAAATTGTTTTGACATCAAGAAATACTTGTTTCCAAGTTACCAATATCCAAAACCCAAAATTAGTCTAAAATTAAAAGTTAATCATGCATATATACCCAATGAGAAATAATTGGTCGAAAAGACGTCGAATCAACCCAAGGACCCAGTGAGAAATGGTTTTCAATTCGATGTCGAATCGATGTCGAAGTGATGTCGAAATCATCATATCGAATTGATGATCATTTCTCACTTGGGAGAACAGAAAAGTCAAAATAATATCAATTTGACGTTATATTAACTTGACCGAATTTACGTTATTTTTTACATTATAATTAAAATCTAGATTTCAAATGACTAAAGAATGACTTTATATTGACTTTTTTTTATAGTGTCGATCTTTTTGATTTTTAGAAAAATGTGAATGTTTCTCGATTGTATATATATGGCAAGTATTTATTTTTAATTCCTTTATTTCAAATGCCATTTCGCATATACAAATTTAAGTTTTAGTAAAAATTGTAACTTCATATTTGTTAATATTTTATATGCAAACTTCATATTTATAAACAAAATATATCTTAACTAATACATATTCCATCTTTTTGACATCTATTAAAAAGATTTATACCATTGGTATATTTTTAATAGCAATTAATATTTATAGATCATCGGAGCATCGGTTCTCGGACGATCACAAGGTTAAGCACGTTTTAGAAGGTTCATGGCTTGGATGGGTGACCGCTTTAGGAATATTGTAAATAAGTTTCTAAATACATATTTCTTAATCACAATCTTGTTATGTATATTTTTTTCATTTTCTAGTATATGATGCTAATAAAATTTATTGTATTTAAAACAAATTTATTTTAGCAATTAAATTGGTGAGAAATGGTTTTCAATTCGACGTCGAATTGATGTCGAAATCATCATATCGACGTCAATTCGATATCGATTCAATCGAATTAGCGATCATTTCTCATTGGGGGAATGATTTATAATACATCAAAAAATTTATGCAATTTGACATCATTTTGACAAACTAAAATTTGATCTTATTTTTATGTCATTTTGATCTTTCTGTTCTCCTTGGGCAGGATTTCGATTTGTGATCGATGTCAAATCGATTACGCAGTTTGAATCGACAGGAGGTCGACATAGGAGTCAAAAAGAAATTGATTTTTTGCAAAATTAACTACAAGAATAAATCAAATAGTAAATAACAAATTGCCTTCGTTACCGCAGTAGTTATTGTGTGAGATTATACAACAGTTATACAACAAAGCAAAAGATGTACTTGTTGAATAATTTTACATGTAAATCGCAAAGGTTTCGCAAAACTCAGAGTCGAAACATTTGCGATTTACACGTAAAATTATTCAACAAATATATCTTTTATTTTATTGTATCATTGTTGTATTATTTCACTCATCAATAACTGCGGCGGCTCACAGAGGCAATTTATTATTTACTATTTGATAATAAAAAGAGTC